CCCCGGGTTTGAAATTCCCTACTATATCATTTCTATGACGACTTACCAATTCCACTCTTCAGTCAAGTTTAGGAAAAAAAAAGGGTTTATTTCAGTTTACTTAGTTGTGGTTTCACATATTTGCCCTAGTTTGCTTTTGTTCCCTCTTTCTCCCACCATATATAGGGAATGTTGGAGGACGGTAACATTTTATTCATTGATTTTACACTTTTACTTCAGAGTAAATCTAGTCAAAATATGAAAATTCTGTTCAGAAAGGAAACCACCAATTGAGGCCTCCACATGCCAGAAATTTCATGTATGCAGGGTAAAAAAAGATTTAACTTCTAAACATTTTGTGAATTTATTTTATAAAGCTGTATCAATAACCATAATGTTAATATTTGCAACTCAACATGTCAATATTGAAGTTCCTTTCTTTAAGACTGAAGACAATTTGCTAAAATGTTACCCATGTGCATCACCACCTCCTCTACACCATTCTAGTATAAAATTATATAGGTGAGGCTTGGGGAATGCCCCATTTTTTTTTAATGGGGACAGGTGTCTGCCCTCATTAAGAAGACAATCTTTAAATGGCAAATATGTATAAAATTAAAGCACTGCGACTCTGAATAGTCCTATAACCTCAAGGTTAATAATATTTAGCTTTTCCCAAAGCACGAAGGCCACTGCCCTGAACTACAGTTGCCTGGTGATCATTCCAGCATGGTGCATGCTTATTCCCTTTCAGAGAGTCCAGGGGCCCTTTGCATTCAAGAGAGGGTGCGAGTGAAATGCCAATCTAAAAAGGGAACGTAAAAAACGGAGTTGGGTGGAATCCAATATCTGTCAGAGACCAGATGCCAATGAAATAAACGGCACTGCTAAAATAATAACTCTACTAATAACGACAGTGATAATAGCTCGCCAATCAATTACAACTCTGGAGGAAAGCCGGGCATTTGGAAAAAAGAGAATTCACAAACGAAAACCCTGAAAAAAATCTATATCTGGATAGCTAGTGAGCACAATATTTTCTTTTTTAAACTGGGGTGTGCAGAATTCACTTCTTCCCCAAGCGGCGTCGAGTGCTTTCGCTCCTGCAATACTAAATCGAGAACAGTGCCCTGGCAGAATAAGGTTTTAGAAAGCGCCATTATAAAGTGAGAGAAATGAGCCTCCAAAGCTTTAATTTTCTAGCCCCGTCACCTAGAAGTAAAGGTCATTCCTCGAGTGGGCATCTGCTTTGGCAAAAGAAGCAAACGACAGAGCGGCGGGGTGACAGGGAAGAGTGCTCTCAGGAAGCCAAGCATCGTCTTGCTTTTTGGCCTCTCCTCGAGTTCTGGAAGTACAGGTACCCGAGCACCACTAGACAAAACGGGCCACATTTAGAAAATGTCCCGTATTTCAGCGCCCGCACCACCCCACTGCCACCTCTTCTCTCTTCCCCACCCCCGTCGCTTTGCCTTTTCGTGAATTTGGCGCGGCCGGGAGTCTGGCGGGGGAGCGCCTTTTCCACAAGCCAACTCCGGTGTCTCTTTCCGCACCCGTGGTCCCGTCGAACTTCTGTCCTAGCCCGACTTGCCCAAGTCCGTCTCCTACCCCAGTGCTCAGAGCCCGAAGAAGAGAGCACTTCGTAGGCGATGGGCGTCCTCTACTCACCGGCAAGTGGCCCAGATCCGTGACTTCCTTGTCCCTCCAACCCCCAGGTCCCGCCATGGCTTCGAGCCGAAGGAAAGCGGGCGACTGAGTTAGGAACGCTTGGAGCCTGAGGTGGAATCGGACAAGAAGTTGAAAAGGGAGAGAAGAAGGGAGAGTGCTTTGGGGGGGGGGAGAGAATTGGGGACCGGGGTTTGTGGCTTGGGAGACAGAGGAGGGGAAACTGGAGGGAAAAGAGTTTGGAGTGCAAGGAAGTCGAATTTGAGAGGCGGGAAAGCAAGTTTGGCCAAGGCGAGGGAAGCGCCTGAGCGTCCGTCCTGGAGACCAAGAAGTTTAGAGGGGTGCTCTGCGGGCGAGAGCGCAGTGACTGCCCCGGCAGGGTGCGCCTCTTTCAGGGTGGGGAGGGGGGCGGTACAAGGAGGGCCCCCCCACCCCCGGGAGCAGCTCGAAGAGGATTGGTGCAGCGTCACGTCGCCAGGTGGGCAGCCGCGCGGCGGGGAGGCGGGCTAGGGGGGCCACTGGTCAAGGGAGGTGCTGAAGGACTATAACGGTTTGCTAGTCGCCCCTGGCGGCCTCCCCCGCCTGCACGCCCCCTCCCTCCTACACCGCTGCGCCTGCCGCCCCCGCCCCCGCCCCCGCTGGCGACTGTTCCAGAGGAAACTTTTTCGAGGCAGCTGCCAGCCCCGGAAAACCGGTCCCGCTCCGCGCCGCTCCCAGTCTGGGCCTCACAGCTCTGCCACAGTCCAAACAGCCCGCGCCCTCCTCTCCATTAAACACTTGTGACTTTTCTAGTTGTCTATTTTCTCTTTATGCTCCTCTGATTTTATTGCTTCATTTACTCAAAGACCCATCAAGTTAGATAAGGGAATGACTGGGCACTGGGTTAGGGATCAGACCTAGGCGAGCCCCTGTAAGGGCGGGGAAAAAGCACCAAGTGCATAGCAGGGCTACCACAGCTGGGCCTTCGAAGCCACTAGATGAGGGCAGTGCGGCGTGGACAGGCTGCGAAGTCCCCTTCAGGAGGGCCGCATCTTTTCTGCCCCAGAGCAGCCCGGGCTGCTCAGTCGGAACCGCACCTGTTCACAGATGCTGGGAGTTGAGTGACACTGAGTCTCTGAAGCCCCAGCTCTCCCAGTTCCTAAGTTTGCAGTTTGCTGCGTTCCAAGAGCACAGAGAAAGTTCCTGCTAATTCCCCAGTCTCCAGCTCTCTGGGGCCAGGTTTCATTCATTCGCTCATTCGTTGCAAAACGTTTCAGGGCGCCCAAGCTCTTCGCCTCCGTTTCCCCCACAAAGCTCCTGGTATCTGACACACATTTTAAAAGAATCTGACAAATGGGATTTAGTCTAAAGAAGTAAGGCGCCTCTTGAAGAGTTTATTGGAAAGAGATTCCGTGCCTAAAACTAACCGCATTCTAAGCTCTTGCACTGCAAAGAGCACTTTAGAAAATATCCTGAAGCTGCTTGCTTACTTACTGGAGCTTACTTACAGACTGCTTCCACGCGCACCGGCACTCTGGAGTTGGAGCGCAATGTGTGGGTGTGTGTGGGGAGGGGTTCCTGTTTCTTTTTTAATTAAGAAATTTCTACCATTTGTAGGAAGATTTACACGAATAATTCTTCCTACCTACCTGAAGTTCACCATTTCTGACACACGCTTCTAACTTTTGTAATTATTCTCTATATATTGGTGGATTTTGTTTCTTTCATGTCTGTTTCAAGTTCTCAGTTTGACCTCTTTACATTCCTTAACCTCCGAGCCTCAGTGAGCTCTGTAATGGCCACAGCCGGTCTGAGTAACCGGGTCTCCCTAAATAAATTCTCCGTTAACGGATGCGGAGAAAACTAACAACCACCCCCACCAAAAAGAAGCTCGGGTGTTCTGGATCGAATTTTCATGTTAATTCAAATATGATGTAAACCATACAGAAATTTCATTTTCCAAAAATCCAAACCTTGACAACTCCACCGCACAAAATCTTCCCTTTTAAAACACAGTTTAAGAATTCCTGGGTGATTAGGAAAACTCTTCTGGATGTTACTAAATATGTGCCTGAAAACAGCAATTCATAACTAGAGATGGGCAGGTGAACTAGTTAATAGAAAGCTACACTTTTGTATACATATCTAGTTTTCAGAAATCAAAACACGGAGTCAAGAAATACAATATTTAAAGGAATTCTGAAAAGAGTTGTTGCTAAAGGGAAGAAGTGTTCATAAGTTAAGGCTTTTTTTTTTTTTTTTTTTTTGGCAGTGCGGTTTGCTGCAGGTAATGTGTGGGGAAATGCCCCATGGCCCCCAATGGCAGACTGTGTTTTAGCCTGTCTAAGGAGACAAGTCCAAACCAGGCGAAAGAATCCAGGCTAGATCTTTGGGCTCTCTAGTTGCAAGGCTCTGTGGGAGGCTAGCGGCTTCTTGACTCCACAGGGATTAGCCACTTAGCAGGGTGGGACCCCCCTGGGGGGTGGGTGTGGGTGGGAATCTAGGTGTTTGACCAGAACATGGTAGAGAACCTACACATTTTTAAGTTATTATTATTTTCCAGGAAAAATGAGGCATGGAAGAGCATGGAAACTTTGCCTTGTAAACTGGCATTATGGGAATTTCTGTGGCAGGTTTAGGGAAGGTCAGCCTAGCTAACAGACCAGAAGGCAAATAGGTGGCCCCCAAGCATGAGGCTTAACCCTGAGAGAAACCTTGAAATAGGGAACTTGTTTTCTGACTTCAGGACTTCTATTCTCCTCATCCCCAAACCATCACTTCCCCTTCCCTTTTAAAATGTTATTTTTTCTCTCTTTCTTTCCTGACCTGAAAACGCATAAAAACAACCCTACTCCATTCAGAATCTAGGAACTTGTCAGATTGTGTTTTACCTGGAAATAATTTATCTGTCAGCACTATATGTCCCATATTCATTACATCTCTTTCTCTTCCAATCCATTCTGTTATCTTAAGGTCCTGAGAGCTTTCTAACTTTTGGTTGTTGGTATTTTTTTTTATAGCGAAAATGTATTGAGTGCTTGATATATCTTCTGGTCTAAGTGTTTCGTATATACTATCTCATTTAATTTTGTCAAAAATTCATCCAGATTTTTAATTATCTCCATTTCATTGGCAAGGGAATTGAGGCACAGAGAGATAAAGTAACTTTCCTAAAGCCTCACAGCTAGAAATTGGAGGAGCCTGGCTTCCAACTCAGGCAGTCTGGCTCCAGAGACCACTTGTCAATGACTGAAGGGCCTGTGCATATTTTGAGACTGTGTGAAGAGGAGCCAAATTCAAAAAAGCCTCAGGGTAAGTCAGATCAGATGACATTAGCTAGGCCCATGAGCTATCCAGTTCCCCTTTCCCCCTTGCAGCCTTCAAGCCCTCCTAACAGAAATAACAAGGGCTTTATAAAAATAAATGGAACCCAGTTATAGCCCAAGAGTAGCTAGCGACCTGCCTAAGCAGAGATTACCAAATGGATCATCTCACAGGGAAAAATCATGGATTTCAAGCTTAAGAAAATTCCAGAGGAAAATAATCCCAGTAATTTCAATGCTTGGAAAATATTAAAATCCATACCTATTCCTTCCAGAGAGGTTTTTTGTTTTTTGGGTTTTTTTTTTGGTTTTTTTTTTTTTTTTTGCTGAGAAAAAACCCTATTTTGTGAAGTTTTGAAGGAGGCTGTGTTTGTGAGCAATCGTGCTTAGCAGAACTGAGGTGCTAAATGGCAAGGTTATAGCCAGTTAGTTCAGTTGGTAGGAATACTATGACATGGTGCCAAGGGTATGGACTTTATCCTCCAGAGGGTCAGTGTGCATCTCTCCATTCTTTAGTCCTTTAACCCTTGATAATACTTCCTCTCTGGCCAGTGATGTCTTTTGAGAAAAAACAACTCCAAAACCAACACTTCATCTTTGTATATAAATAACTGCATATTCTTTTTTTCATGTACATCGCTAGTCACCATGATCTGGAGAAAGTATATTGCAAAAGCATGTGTGTGTAATAAAATACATAGATTCAAAAGGTTCTAGGCTGCTTTTTCTCCTTTTTTATTCACTCATTTATGATTGGCAATATATATGTAAATAAACACTTTAAAAATGAACCTCATAATATGCTTTATTAGCCATTTATTAAATATTTAAGCACACAAAAGTTCTGTCATTTATTGTTTTTCCTTTACTCTGACACCTCATGTATGAAAATGAGTATCTTGCCAACTTCTGTTAGGACAAATTTGCTGTCTACAATTACTGCTCCTGGGTGGGACTAGTGAAATAGGGTTATATAGCAATCTTCTTGAAAAAATACTTTCTAACTCTTGTGATGGCAAACACTAAAGATCTAATACCTCCCAATATATTTGTAAGAGGCTGGGGCAGCATATCTGAAAGAGTGTCAGGAACTGCTTGTTGAGGGACGAAACTTCTTTGGGAACCACTGCTTTAATGGACCTTCTTAAAGTTTTCTTTTTTCTTTATGGAGACACATTTGCAACTGTAGGATTTCTGCCACAATCCCCAACACTCTTGCAACCATTCCTTTTGATATTTCTTATGTGCCACTCCTCTGGGGACAAAGCAACAAGCCACCTGATGTTTCTCAGGCTAAAGGTCATAAATGTGCCTTCTGACCATAGTTTGCAAAGCTTCTGTCACTTGTTATGGAATGCTCTTAAGCTCGGCATGATTTGAGCTATGCTTGTTTCTAAAATGAGGCCCTGGAAATCTGATCCTAACTGAACACGGGTCTCATTGCTATTGAAAACTGGAATGCAATGCTAAAAAAAGACAATTGTTTTATAAAGAGAACTAAAACAAGGAAATTAAACCCAAAACTCAGATAAATTTCTGAAGTTGGTCATGGGGCTTCCTTTTATTCTTATCTTTTCCATCTTGGAGGCCATATCATTCTTGTTCTGGAATTCCCCACCCAGAAACTTCAGGCTTGCCATTCTTCCTCACTCAGAACTCACCAGAAGCACATTAATTGATGCTAATGAAACTTATGCTTCAAGAAACCTCATTTGCATTTCCAAGGGCCAGGGAGTGGCTCCAGTAATTCTGTATTGATAACTCTATATTCCTTTTTTGAAGTGGGCTCCACAGATTATAAAAGCTTCAGATACAACAAAACTTGGATTTCTCCCTGAATACAAATGTATAATAAACATAGTTGAAGTGTGTGTGTGTGTGTGTGTGTGTGTGTGTGTGTAATCTCCCTATCACTGAGGCTTGACAAAGTAAGAGTTGTAGCTAGCATCCCACAACCAGAAAGTGTGTACTTTAAAAAGAGAGAAAACTCAATGAAGAAAAGAGGAATAACACCAAACATTAAGAAATTATACGTATATGTAGAAAAGAATACATCACATAAGCAGGATGGATATCCCTTTGATGG